ATATATAGTCACAGTGACTAAGTCACTCATAGCACCTTCATTGTTTCTTCCTTAATCTGGCCCACTAGTCACAAATGGGGCCTGTTCTTATGACCTGGCTAGGCAGGAGACAACATTTGCCAGTATTGCTGATATACTATCCTGCTACTATCTGGCTAAGCACAAGGTATCTGTTGCCAGAATCCCAACTATGCAAGCCAAGAAATTCACCATTTACAGTAAACATTCTATCCCACAACCAGGTAACATGAACTTGCCTTTAGGGTCCCATGCTGCCTAGCCCAGATCATATCAACAGACCCTTAGCAGATCCTGAAACTACAATCGGAACATTTTAGGCCATAATCTTGTAGAATCAACCAGGTATTGTCAGTAGTATAATATCACACTGGGCAAGCTGGTCTTGCCCATTTATATGGGCTAAATATACACCTGCCCATGGTAAGATACTGCCTCGTATATTAATTTTATATATGTTTGAGATTGCATTCACATGAAACAGCCTGGTTGAATTTATAGGCCCAGCATCTGCTTGAGCAAGTTGATATCCTGCATTGGGAGTCCTGGGAGTTGATATCCTGCACTAATAAAGGTCATAAGCTGGCCAACCAGCTCACTCGGCTAAAAATCATGTTATAACAGGGTGTTAGCTAGGATTTCATAAGTGGCCGTCCAAAATAATTTTGTGTGCGTGGCCACACATTTTTTGTGGGCGTGGTCACATGGTTTTGGCCGTGGCCGCAATTTTGAGTTGTTGTGGAATTGTGGTGTTCTATTCGTTGAACCTTTTTACTTTTCGATCCACACGCGTCTGTCGATACTTCCACTCAGCCATATTCAACGTGTTTTCGACGGGAAAAAGTATGAAAACATATACCATAAGTAAACAGCAGATGACAACAATTCGAAGTATTCAAGAAATATTACAAAGCCTGTAAATTGCTATTTAAAGAAAATATTCCCTTTGGCCGTCCATGGCCGCCCATTAAAATTTAGCCGTCCGAATTCAGAAGTGGCCGTCTGTAGGACGGTCGGACGGCCGCCTGGCTAACACCCTGTGTTATAATACACAATTTGGCCCAAGTAAGTAAGAAATTGATTAATATAAGCCTTCTGAAGCTGTTGTCATTAACAAATTAACCAGCATTTCACACAAATTTCTTTACAACAGTTGCCAGGTTAGCCTGGCTCCTGTGAGGCAAATGACAAACTAGTCCTGAAAAGAAAATCCAGCCATGTTTGCTGGGCTAGCATGGCCCATTTTGACAGCCCTTAACAGGGAGAGCTTATTTTTGGAAGGGAGATCTGATTTTTGGAAGAGAGGCCTATTTGTGAGGTTACTGGGGGCTTAATATTGGATTGCATTATTATATAATAGGTGTAAAATATTCATTTGTGCACAGGTATTCTGGTAATGCACAAATTTATGGACTAAGATGTTTCAATTATAGTCTCGGGATCTATTGGGGACCTGTTTATATGATCTAGGCTATCCAGAACACATGCTTGAAGCCTATCATGTTGCCAGTTTGGGATACAGTGCTTATTGTATATGGTGAATTTCTTGGCTTACATATAGCCAGGATTCTGGCAATGGAAACCTCACGCTTAGCCAGGCCGATAGTAGCAGGATAGGATAGGACATACTGGCCAATGTCGTCTCCCACCTTAGGCCATCTAGCCAGGTAATATGAACAGGGCCCAATTGTGACTAGTGAAGACAGATGAAGTAAAAACAATGAAGTTCATATATGTCCATAAATTTTGATACCTGAACAGCAACATTGAACAAAATCATTCTGTCCCACATGCGGCTAAATCGAGGAATGCACATTTGCCCGACGCCATCTTGAAATCATTATTAACTGGGGACATCCGTGGTTATCTTATGATAATAATGAATTAGTAAAATAGTTATCCATTAAAGTGCTCCTGTATCCCTTGTCTACATCCGTAGTTTATTTCTATTGTCAGCTGGGAAGTAAACACGCGATAAAAAGTTTTCTTTATTAAATTGACTAGAGATATTTACTATGAAAAGATGCTGATTTTAATGGCGAATTCAATGGTGTTCTCCGATTTTCCATCTACTCTGTACACAAATTCCTATAGTAGGGTAAAGACTCGAGTTTTAGAGTATTAAAGGGCGAATATCTTGGTTCAGTTTTTGAATGAAAAGGGAAAACTAGGGCTGTTTGATACAGAATTTCATGCAGAATCGAAGGGTATTTTCGGAATTTCCATCTACCGTGCACACAACTATGTGCTCACTATACGAAAGTAAATTTGCGTGCCAGAGACTAAGTGTCGATTAAGGCATACAAATCACTGTGAAAAATGTCGATACGCGAAATGCTGTTATTTTGTCTTTTCGATCGGTTTATTTTCCTTTATATCAAATCAAAAGCTAAAATAAGTCATTATAATATGATTATTTATGATTTAAAAGCATCAAAAGTGTATTTATTGTGATTTTTGCTGCTGTAAACTAGCTTTATTTATATACATAACAATTTAGTATTTAGGCATGTGCGAGCGACAATTATCCAATCAGAATCCAATCTTTTCATTTTCCCGCGAATACGTTTGTTTTGATTACATCATTCATGATAGATACTATTAGATACTATGACATCATAACTGAAACCCAGGTCATTGCGCGGAATTCAAGATGGCGTCGGTAAAATGTGCATTCCTCGATTTAGCCGCTAGTCTGTATTTAGATATTCGCCATATTGATCGCCACGCTGTTTAGCAAGAAATCGACATGTCACTTGTCCCGGCCCGGAAGTGTCCTGTTTACTTGTTACACAGGAATGACAGGATATTAATAAGTTAATGTCAAAATATGAAGATAAAAGTATCTTTTAAAAATAGGTACGCTAAGCGTACATGTATCTGCTCATGGTGATGCACTTTTGCCAAGGCTTCAATCAACACTCAGTAGCTTGTAAAAAAATTTAAGGGACTAATGTTTAACAGTTGACCAGTTAAATAAAGTTAGATTTATAGTATGTCAGATGAAAGAAAAATAAAATGGCTGATATATATTCAACTTGCAGAAACTAATTCCGGCCATAACGTCACAAAGATGATATTCAATTTTATGATGTTCTTGTTGAATCATCTTAATTTTATGTTCTTGCAGGGATGGATCCAGCATGATCTGACAGGGGGGTACTCTGCCCGCTCTGGTGCCGAGTTGTGTCGGCCATGTGTGCCACCCACCCATCAACTTGCTTCACTATTGCAAAGTCTTGCTTGACTACAGTATTTGAATTGTAATTGTTGTTCACAGTTTGCCTATCATCATATTATTACTCAAATTTCTGTATCTCATTTTGTTTCTAATAATTTTTTGTTTATCATGAAAAATAGGACCCCCTCCTGCACCCCCTCTGGCCAGGGCTAGGGGGGTGCAACCCCTCCCCCCAAGTAAATCCATCTCTGTGTTCTTGTTAAAACATTTCGGGTTCCAAATCTTCTTGATAGTTCATAATAAACTTTAGCAGGCATGCGAGAACATGGTAGATGCATAGAAGTTGTCAGGATAACAGGTGGTGCCAATATACATTGTTGTTCATTGTTGATTAATTGATTCATTGACATTATTGACACTCCCCTGAAGGGGCTTTTCAGTGACAAAAATTACAAACACATAAACTTACTGTATTATTACTACATTAGTCCTAATTAATTTTATTGAAACAGATTACTAGCAAACAAGGAAAATTTCACAAAAACTGCGACAGAGACATCAACATCAACAACAACAACAACAACAACAACAACAACAACAACAACAACAACAGCGATGATAACACATCAACAGTAGCATCGACAACGCTTATTGATCAACTACTGAAAATATCCAGGAATTGCTGGAGAAGTTTATGTCTTAGTTTTAACTTTACATTTTGCAGAGTTTTGGAAGCCTTCTTATACCATAACTGATACATAACATCAACATTTCTGCTGTTTATAATTGTTTTTAAATATAATCTATTTTAGTATTTCCTTTTAGAAAATGTCATAGTCAGGGTTGATGGCACACAAATCAACTGTTTATGCCTAGTAAATATATCAAATAGGTCATATATTGAAAGTCATTCATCAGCAACAAATGATGACAAGTATGGAAATTAGAAGTATAATTGATGCATATAGTTCTTGAATAGAATGATCATATAATTCAGCATAACAGATCCATGCAATAATATTTTGTCGTGGAAGAAAATCCACTAAACAGAATATTATGTTAGTTTTGTACATTGTGTGCTATATTAAATAAGATCCCATTATGACATATGGTTGTTGTTGATTATAAGACAATATAGTATGGGATAGGTGAAGGGGATATAAATTGCTTAACTGGTGTTCTTGGCAATGACATTCAGTTGCAGAAATCAGGGTCGATGAAGAAGGGAGCACCCCGTCCAGGATATATAGTTAATAATTATGACTGGTTGCAACTGTTACTATAAGTATTGATATTCCAATCTAAAACTGAATCTCTGCTCTTTATGCAGCCACTATTACTTTGGCTCGCTTTAATGAAAGCAATTATTCAATGCACATACTGCTAGAGTGAAAGTGCTTTAAGAGAAATGTTTCCAATATGTGTGACTTAGCTTCTGACCCTGCTAAATTTGTATAAAAATGATCTATCAAAGTCTGTAATGAAAGAAGACACCAATTGTCTATAGTTATAATCATTTATAAAGAAATTATGTAAATTATATAGCCTTGAGCCTTCTATTGGTTTCATTCAACTAATTTATATTAACTAAGTAAAGTCACCAATGAAAATGTTAAATTGAGAAGTACATAAACATCAACATCAACACTTACAACTCGATATACACCAACAACGGCAACATGTGGAAGAATCATTACTTTCATAATTTCATAATAGTATTCTCAATGCCATTAGTCAATAATTTTCTTGTCCAAAATTGCAAATCATTTCGTTTCCACTGCGTATTAAATGATGAAACCTTTCAAATACTTGCCAAAAATGCACTAGCGACATTTGCCATAGTCAGACTAGTAAAATGACGTTGTTTTAAACTGCATTTGATTTCGTAAATTCACAAATTGCCTTTTGTTTCACACTTTAGTAAGCCGCCATTTTGAAATTAGTATCATTACGTCATTTCATCTATAAGCTGTTGTTGATTGGCTATGAGCACGCTTACAAATTTCCGGTACGCGCACGATGGCAATATATCTGCTTCGCAGATACAAAAAATAAAACCTCTCAAACCTCGATTTGAAAGGCTTTTAAAAACGCTAATCCGTTCGGAACCTACAGATTCGAGGGATGGTATTTAAGCTTGCGCAAGGCAAAGTTTGAAGACCCATATCTTCGCAATCACGCAATTGATCAAAAATCGCCACGAGGAAGTTGAGGAGAATTCTTTTAAAAACAACATATATGAATTTCATGGCAAAAAAACAAAAAACCGCTTGCAGAAAAGCTCTGAAGTAACCCCATATGTTTGTTTACAAATTTTATGTGATGAAGCGTTTTACGCATTCTGATTGGCTTAGGGCAAAAATGTAAACAAAAGCGCTGATTGGTCGAGAACGAAATTCCCCCTTGTTCATGACAACTACTTAAAATACTTCACGTTCGGAAAATAAAATGGTTTTGTCAGCAAGGCGAGGGTTTCTGCATGCATGTATTTTCTAGTTATATTAGACTATTTCACATCTACCATTGGAAACACTACAAATGGAAACTAGGCTTTAGGGTGATCAACAGTCGCAACTGCATGAGCTTCTTATACTTGAGGCATGACGTCACTAGCTAACAAGGTGTGAACATTCTTGCTGACATATTATTTGTTTATGGAAAAACATTAAGTCGAGACTTCGAGATTTACTGTACTCTAGCTTTATTATAGTTTTAGAACTCATGCATGTTGGTCTATTTTTCGCCTGTTTGTTTTCAAACATAGAATAGCAGAATAGAATAGAAACTTAGTTTATTTGACGAGTAAAAACGTATTAACCATAAAAGTTATCTAACATACGGCCCTCGCACTATTTTGATATTTATAGGCATAAAAAGTATTAAAGATTACGACTATAAAACTCACCATATAAAAATAAAAATGAAAATATATAAAAATAGAAAAACATATAAATTATAAAACTCGCCATATAAATAATAGAAGAAAAAAACTCACCATATAAATTATAAGCTCACCATATTATTATATTATAAACTCAGCATATAAATTATAGAACTCACCTTGATTACGATTTCGTTTGAAGCATTTATCATACCATTCCCAGGATTCATGAAGACCTCGGTAATAACTAGTTGAATCATAATTCAAGTAATAGTCCTTTCTTGCGCGTGTGGTGTATGTAGTTTTCGTAAATTGTGGAGTGTTGGTTTGACGTCCTATAGGAGTAATTCATTTAAATCCCCCATTAATTTAAATCGCTGCTTCAAACTCATCTAAACACAATCCTTTTTTTGCTGACAAGTTAATATTTTTCGGGTATACAGATATGACGTAATTATCTCGTGGAGAAGGTTATGTTTTTATTCGCGTTTGTGCGTGTGTATGTATTGAGTAATCAGATGTGTGTTATTGTTTTATATTTGTGGGCATACTTTCCTGGGAGAAATTGTATTACATGGCTTTAAAAATCTCTGACTAAAATTAAAAACATTGTCAGTGACAAAATTGAACATAAAAGATTAAAACATATTTTCCAGGCATTCAGATATCATGACGTTATTTAATTTATCATTATTAGTGTTTCTCTAAAATCGTAATTAAATGGATTAACCAATTCATTTATGTTGAAGCTTAAACTCTGCAAGATGGAAAAACTACTGATGCGCCTGTCCACTCTTCTATGGCCGAGGGATTGTTTCACCTCTCTAAAGTTAGCTTCATTTTTGCCGTTCTGTGGTTTATTCTCTGGTGAGTAATTCATCAAATTATTGCAATTGCGATGAACGGATACCTTCAGTTGGCCCCCAATATTTAAATTAGGTTCTATATTTTCGTGCATGAATTTTTCTTACCATTCCTCATTGTGTGGTGATTCAACTTTTGATGTTTCGTGTCATCTTGACATCGATATTGAAGAACAAAATTACAGTTTAAATCTCGATCACTACAGCCATGTTGATTGGTCCACTCAATTGTAAGCAGAGATTTTCCTTTAAGACCTGAAGTACTTGCATAGCCTTTACCACTCTGGAAATAGTGCTGAAAAAAGTTCATAGCTTTAGGATGCTTTGTGAATGTTCAAATTCACGAAGTGTTGTGAATGCCTGAAACTTAACAGGAGCTGGGATTTGACCTTCGTTAATTAAAAAGGAAAATGGGACTTGCAACGTGCATGCGCAATTTCGCAGTTTAGAATGGGATTTGGCAAGCTGGGAAGCGGGATTGAACCCTTCGAGTCACTCCTGCCCGTTTAGCTTTATTGGATTTTCTGACCGGTATAGAAGAGATGAGTCTTACAGTAGCCTATAGCTCTTTACGTACCATGTTAAATTGTGTCTCCTCGCTGCTTGATTTCTGATTTTTGTCACCTACATTGTAGCCACCTTTAGCGTTGTTCTAGAAAGATATGAAAATGTAGGCCCATTTATTTGTTTGTCTCTGAGTATTACCCCCTACTGCAGGTCGATTGACAGATTTATTTAGGTTGGGTCACATCCCTGTACTTGAAAGTTGAAGTCTGGTTCTCATCTGTGCTTCAAGGGTTTTTCTCCGGGTAATACAATTTTCCTTCCTCGCTAAAATTAACCATTGCGGATTAATCGTAAATAACTAACTGATCCTAAGCGATATCCACATCAAGCATGATTACTGAGTTCTCTTCGTATAGCCTGGTTCCCATATGGTCACAACGGTCGTAAAGATTGAGTCTTTCTCATCAGCCGAAATACAACATTTTAGAACGGAATGTGTTTACAGGAATAAACCATTATCAGGGACGTAGGAACCGGGCGGAGGCACGGTCCTTTTCAAAAGGACTAAAAGTGCCCTTTTTTGCGATGAAAAGTTCCCTTTTTGTACAAGCTAATGTCGCTGTAAATACTAAATTAACATCAAAAGTGCCTTTTTTGGTTGGAAATTTCCATGTTTTTAAAAAAAATGTGGTCAAAAGCGTGGAATTTAGGTATGGTATGACGGGGAAATTTTTCTTCCGTCTCGTGGCCAACATTTCCGGGAAAAAATTTTTAGGTGCCCTTTTCAATGTCCTAAAGTGCCCCTAGAAGCCGGTGCCCCCCCCCCCAATCTTTTGATGCTTCTTACGGCACTGACCATTATATACTGGCCGTTGAGAAAGATCGTGATCCTATTTTTACCGTTTTACGACCATTATAACCATATGGAAACCAGGCTTTAGGATTTCTCGAGTCAAATTATTCCAATATTCAAATGTTTATGATTACATGAATGGAGGGAATGAGAATATATAATTTTGGTTTGAAGCTCACCTGAGAATCGAACATTCGATTATTGTTTCCTCTGTTAGCGCCTGCTCCATTCAAGCGATTATTAGAACCTCTGGGACTGTGTAGAAATGTATCAGCATCACTCAAACCGACCAACAGTCCTGCAAGTGCAAGAACACACAACTTAATTAATAATAAATAACCCTTGAATATTCAAAATCTCACCAAAATTGCAATATTAACTGTCAGTTAATAATTAACACAGAGTTGCAATGTCTCAACATTAGGTTGCGTTTGTCCCAAATCCCAGTTGTAGATGTCTCAACACCCCCAATTGCAATTGTATCAACACCCCTAGTTGCAATTGTCTCAACACCCAGTGGCAATTGACTCAACACCCAGTGGCAATTGTCTCGACACTCAGTGGCAATTGTCTTATCACCCCCAGTTGTAGTTGTCTCAACACACCCTGTTGAAATTGTCTCAACATTCAGTTGCATTTGTTCCAACATTCAGTTGCAATTTTCCCAACACCCTGTGGCAATTGCCCCAACACCCATGGGCAATTGTCCCAACACCCAGTGGCAATTATTTCAACACGCAGTAGCAATTGTCTCAACACCCAGTGGCAAATGTCTCAACACCCAGTGGCAATTGTCTCAACACCCAGTGGCAAATGTCTCAACACCCAGTGGCAATTGTCTCAACACCCAGTGGCAATTTTCCCAACACCCAGTGGCAATTGTCTCAACACCCAGTGGCAAATGTTTCAACACCCAGTGGCAATTGTCTCAACACCCAGTGGCAATTGTCTCAACACCCAGTGGCAATTGTCTCAACACCCAGTGGCAAATGTCTCAACACCCAGTGGCAATTGTCTCAACACCCAGTGGCAATTTTCCCAACACCCAGTGGCAATTGTCTCAACACCCAGTGGCAAATGTCTCAACACCCAGTGGCAATTGTCTCAACACCCAGTGGCAAATGTCTCAACACCCAGTGGCAATTGTCTCAACACCCAGTGGCAATTTTCCCAACACCCAGTGGCAATTGTCTCAACACCCAGCGCAATGGTCCCAACACCCAGTGGCAATTGTCCAGAGGCGTAGCCAGGATTTTTTGTCAGGGTGGGGCAGCAAATAGCTAGGTGGGCCCAGGCCCCACTTATTTTTATATAATAAATTTTCTCACGGGGGGGGGGATTTTACCAGAAGGGCCCGGAACTCGCCCTGGCTACGCCTGTGCAATTGTCTCAACACCCAGTGGCAATTGTCTCAACACCCAGTGGCAATTGTTTCAACACCCAGTGGCAATTGTCTCAACACCCAGTGGCAATTGTTTCAACACCCAGTGGCAATTGTCTCAACACCCAGTGGCAATTGTTCCAACACCCACAGAACAACTAACAGGTACTCTTTATTGGGAAAAAGAACGAGTGGGGGATGGGTTAGCTAGAACAATATATGGGTTAGAAAATAGATTAGCATGGAGATTTATTCATTGAGGCAGTACTTTCCTTGGAATCAAGTAGAAGAATATTGCAAGTTACGTCTTGAATAATTTAAACCAATTAGCTACAGTATAGTGTAACACAATGCTTCTAAACTTGCTCCCTACTCATTATTTTTTCAATTTCGATTGAACTTGTATCGCACGTTAAGGACCTGTCACACTATTCGGCGTATCCGAGAAACGTACGAGAAGCGTATGAAAAATGAATGAAATAATTTTCATACTCACAAAAATTCCTTGAAATGGCAACGTATGAGTACCGTACATCTGGCGTACCTCTAGCGTATTCAGCGTGTGCCTAGAGTATGCTTATCTTATAAACCATACATCCGAATACGCACAAAATTTTTAAGCATGCTTTAAAAAAATGTTTCTGTCTCACTGGGCCTCCCCGTATGCCAGCATATGTCACCGTATGCGACCGTGCTTGAAAAGTATACAATCTATGCCTAACGTGCTCCTAGCGTATGTCAGCGTATTCCAGCGTATGAGTGATATTTTTCATACGCTGTAGTGTGTGAATGCCTTTAAATATTATCAACGATATAATAAATATTGTTATATTTTAGATGAATGATAGATGAAATCTAGAACCACTAACAATGAATGCATCCAATATCGAACTCTACGACCACAACTATAGGCTATGATGAGAACTTAGGCTACTGGTCTTCAAAGCGATGTTGGTGACACATCAATACGTTTTTTTTCTTCCATATAATTATTTTTGTATTTCCCTCGACGTACTATGGTTTCGCCAAAATCCACCAGACCAAGTCTTCCGCGCATTCTGTGTATATATCTAGATCTTGAGCCTATGGAAATGTTTGTCGTATTTCTGCGGGGCCCGAATGATTAAGCTTCAGGTATGTTTTTTAAGCCTGTAGGTAAATACTGTTTTAATTATACAGCTATTTTAATTACAAGAGCTGTATACATTTATTTTTTAAAATTTTTTATCATTTTTGGTTCGTTGTTGGTCGCCTGTATTCTAGAAGCTTACTGCACACTCACATTCAATGAGTGGAGGTTCCAATCTGAGCTCTTCTTGAGTGTCAATTAATGCTGTTTTTACTGAAATAGCTGGAGGGTGAGAAGTCACATTGCATAAGGTACGACACTAACACTCCAGTTATTCAAAAACAACATTGACACTCAAGAAAAGCTCAGATTGAATCTTCACTCATTGAGTGTGAGTGAGCTTTTAGAAAACGGGCGTAAAACTTTTAATCGTATCGAGGCAACTGATATCATCTGCTCATCGACTCTGAGATGAATAGTGAGAACAATAGCGGCTTAAATTCTGCTTTAAACCTAACCGTTAAGCAAATTATAAGTGTTTACCTGCTAAAACTAGAGTGGTTGCTAATAACAAACAATTAGACATCTTTCTGTAGAAAAAGAAACAATAATAAAAAACATGAAAAGTAGATTTTTCTCTATTTGTTTCAAAATACCCTTAATATTAAAAAGTAAATTAAACGTAGCTTACGGTTTCACTAGGCGGATACTATGTTATATATATATGAGGACGTCTATATATGAGGACGTCAACAATTACTACAATTCAACACAAAATAATGATATTAGCACAATAACCGTGAAATTCTGATGCCACGAGTGCTTTCTCTCGGCGAAATGCGAAACCTTTCGTACGAAATGAATACGTGCATGCGCGGTACAAAAATTGCGAATTCTTACGCCAGAGTCAAATCACGGCTGGCAAGTGTACCACACATTTTGACTTTCTAAATTTATGTTTCGCTTTGTCATATCGATAAGTGCATGGCAGAGAAAGCAAGCGCCTGATGAAAATTGAACGGCCTGCAAGGATATAAACACGCCTTGCTACTCACTATACGCGACGCATGAATAGTTAGGGCGGGTTTACGAATATTCAAAATATTGCCACGTGAAGTAATTTTGTGAAGTAATTAACAAGAAATTGTGTACTGAAAATTTTTTCATGAACGCAATTTCGTGAATATTTAATTAATAATTTTTATACTACCAATTGTCGGTTTTAGACATTTCTAATTTCAAACATGAAGACATATTAAATATTAACTGACTATATATCACAATCTTGTACTTCAGAAAACCCCATAACCCTTATGGCTTTCAAATATTGTTTCAATATCAAATATTGTTTCAAAATCTTGTTTGGAGTAAATTGCAACACTGCATGAAGTCTTATATTTTAATCTCTCAAATAGAAGCCAACCATGCTCATACAATGAAATGTGGAGTGCCCATGCATGGTTAGATACTATGTATATGTACTTTAGATATATACTTAGCCCTTCTTGTAGTTTTTAGTCAATGATCTTCCGAGTTGTTTTTCTATTCACTGCATGAACTAAATATGTACATGTAGGCAGAAACTATAGCGTGCATTACTCTTTTCTAAATTTTCCGAAAACTAGTACTCTTTCAGGTAAATGATATAAAAACATCTCACAAATTTTGTCTTTTAATTAATAGAAAGAGAATTCTAACTCATCGTTTCGAAATATCGTAAAAAGATGGTTTCTTAGTCCAATGTGCCGCTAAATATGCAGCCTTGCATGGATCGTCCAGCCTCGGCAGGCTCTCGGCAATACTGTTCTATTTATCGTCGGTCGATTCCCTTATAATATAGTCTAATCACAAACAGACACTAAGTTTTGTATATTCATTAACGATAAGCTTACCTGAAATGGTAGTTGTTCCTCAAATTGCTTGTGCCCCTTCTGCCTTGATCGAAACACGAGTGTCTGTACTCCCAAGAGATACACAGTCCTATATATATCCAACTATTTTAGAGGAAATTGCTTAATTATAATTAACATTTTTTGTAACTCCTAAGTACTATTTGTCAGTTGAAGGTTTCAATTAATGACTTGCATGGCAATGATTATTGTGGGAAATGGAGTGGAAACGTATATTGTTAGAACTGTTTGCTTGGTTAAAGCCGTCATCTATAGGGGCAATTGCAGAGTAATCCGAGTGTCGGCAACACCTAGATGAATTAAATCAACGAATTTAATGAAAACAACGGTTCCCTCTAATAACTGCACTTGAGAACTGCTCTCTTTGTTAAAGCTGTTATCTAGAGTAATTGCGAAATTAATCCGAGAATAAACAGAAAATAACTCACTCGGTGTCGGCAATACCTAGATGAATTATTAATAATGAAACCTTCCTTCTCGAAAGATTCAACTACCATTGTGTTCTTACTAGCTGCTCTATCAAAAGAAGAATTTCGAAAAGTTGTATCAAATATATAATTGGCCTTACTATAGACATACACTATTTATTCCTTTCCACTTGTCAATGATATACACAAAGAAAATTTAAACACTATAAAAATTTAGTACACATACAAAATTTAGTACACAACTGTCATAGACTAATGCAAGTAAAAAGCTCCAAGTTCTCTTTAATGATACTGTACTATATGACCATGCAATCTAGCCTAAAGCCCGTTCTCCACTAGGCGAATTTGTTCGCGCGAACAGTAAAAAAGTAGGAACTGATCCAACTTTTTCGCGGCGAATTTTTTCGCTGACCAATCACATTGCCAAGATTTGTCTTTCGCTTCGCGTCGCGCGAAAAAATTCGCCTAGTGGAGAACGGGCTTAATACGGACACCATGTGTAGAAACCAATACCCAAGACTGTTCTACTTTCATCATACTAATTCACACATTATATAGTTTGTACAATATGCATGATTGGCTGCCGCTTCTACTGCAAACAATGAATATTGTGCAACGCGATAATCTAAGAGTGGTCCAGTTAGGTAGCTAGATCCAACTTGCTGAATTACTGTAGCTGGTTGTCTGGCTAGCTAAGTCTGTCGAAGTATCTACTGAACATTTGGCTGGTTTTAGTTATAGTAACGTTCTTACTTTTATTTCTAGCAGTATGGTTACCTTGTTTTATATAGACAGAGTTCAACAGTCTATAGACAAAATACTGGAGTAAAAATGAACTTCTGCCGGTACAAATTTAGCGGTAAAAAGCAGGTTAGGTAGTATCTTAATTCAGGCCAATATTACACTAAATTCTTCGACAAAAATTGCTTTGCTGTGAACACTGATTTTGGCAAGTTGCAAACAATAAGCTTATACCGGCCCAGATCATGCGATTGTAGAATCTATTACTTACTGTAATTAATTGGCGTCATATTTCAACATGACATATGCAAATCAGTAAAAAGGATTAACCTTAGCCTAATTTTGGCAATGCTTTCTCTAATAGTGTACAGGGTAATTTACTGAATGAGCGTCTTGCAAGCATTGTAGATAGTGATATTAAATAACCAATCACAATACCGCAAAAATTAGGGCATTTTCATATGAGCCCAGTTTGTAACTTTGTAGGAAAGCTCACCAACATGAGTGGCATGAGTAATTTTCACCTTGTTCGAAATCTTTTTTTGTTGTAATAAAACAAACTGCAGCTTTCTACACTAGACTTCATATGTGTCTGTTTGCTTTCATTAATGTTTTTCTCTGCATTTTCTACTATGCCGTCAGGTGGGACGGTTAATTAAAGCCTTTAGCCACCTAACGCAAGGTGAGATTTCACCTCAGTAGTTGGACTGCTGGCTCGTTTCTCATATTATGAACACAATTAAATTCTATAATTATATGGTCGTTAACAAAGGGCATGCAGATCTAATTCAGGCGCGTTTGCCGGTTAGCGGGGCTCCTACGAATAGGGCCTAAATGTGAGAAAAATTTAATACAGTATGCACCTCATTCAGGAACACATGAACGCGCAAAGTTTTACTTAATATTCTCTTTTCGTGGCGACCAACGGCTAGTCAAGTGTTCTTTATGCATGGACATTGCATATAGAAAGTCTGAATAATAAAATCGTCGTGTCAGCAAGCGTGTTTTTGTGGACAAACGCCGACATTCCGGCTGTATACTTCTTTGTTATAGTTACTAATTGATTTAATTAATTTACTCACTATGTGACGGTGCAGTGCAGTTGGAATATATGCATGGAGCTCGAGTATGTATACGCTTTTGGCAAGTATAATCTTAGACTGCTTTGAAAAGCGTATATAAATATTATAATACCAGTAAGTATAAAAATTTAAAAAAATACGTCCAATAAACATTGCTTATTTCAATATGTCAGTTGTATGACGTTTTCCGGTTAATAAACGTCAACATTTAATATCATCTCTCTTTTGGAATGCTTTTTGTCAATATTGATGAGTAAATCCTTTATGTACCTAGCGAAATCACTTTTTGCTTCAATGATCACTAACGATGGTCCTTGACAACACCACAATGTTTTAAGAATGCTAACAAATTAATCCTACAGCCACAATGTTTTAAAGATCATATGCATGTAAAGTCCGTTCTGCGCATACATTCTGTGCAGGCCTACATTGCAATGGTTGCGACCGACCATTGGAATTTTATTAATAGTTCGCCCCTTTTGAACTTTATTGAATCGAATCTCTAGTCTGTATGCTATATTCATTTACAATCATAGCTAACCACAAGAGTGTTAAAAATTCAGTATAATATAATATAATCATATTTTACAACTATAGCACTGAGTTGAAAATGTAACCTTTACATGGCCTTTAATTTAAGAATGCTAATAAAGTACAGTAACGTAATTCTCATTCAAGGTGTCACATGAGTTTGACTCGTTTCCCATGCATATGAACACATGTCAAATTTAATTATATACATATATATATATATATATATATAGCTTAAGTTTTTGGTTTACGAAACACAAACAGTGCTCAATACCATATAGATACAGCGTAATATAGTTTTTCGTTTTACCTCAAGAAACCACAACAGTCTGTTTCATCCGTATAGGAATCATCAGGTGGTCTATATAATACCAGTATATATATATATATATATATATATATATATATATATATATATATATATATATATATATATATATATATATATATATATATATATATATATATATATATATATATATATATATATATATATATATATATATATATATAATATGCCTTAAAAAAGGCATGACGTCTCACTCACGATAGCTGGGCCGATATGAATCGGGTAACTGCATGGGCTCATACAAGCAGGCGCTAAATGCGAAAAATACAATTAGAATTTTCTCAAAATTATAAATCTTTAAAATTATCGTCTGGAATATCTTTGCCAAGTATTAACACGAAACAATCAACTTCCGAGCTCATCCCTATCTAAAATTTGACGGTCCTAGTCTCTCTATGCTTCAAGTATGGGCCTAATGTAGGCCATTTGAACGCAAAGTTTTAGTTGTTCTCTTTGCTGCGACCAACGTCTGCAGTCAAGTTTCACTTATGGACATTGCATGTAAAGTCAGAGTAATACTTTAATTCAATTCAATTCGTGGCATCCAATTCTCGTTAACCAACGCAGACAATTAAAACAATGTGAAAAGCAATTTTTCAAAATAAACTAACCATTTACAAAGCAAATTTACCATCATTTGTCCAAAAAATTTTAAAAGGTCGCTGTTATGAGGACTTATCTCGCAGACATCGGCTGAAATGCCACCCTTGTCGTTTCTGCATGCAGGTGGGTTTTTGTGGACAAATGGCGTCATTCTGGTTACTTCTGTGTTATAGTTATTTATTGATCCACGTCTAATTTTCACACTGATTTAGCCACCATGTACAGCCATGCAGTTAGCATATGGTGTCCAAGTACGCAACATGCAGTAATTTGATAAAAGAGCAAAACAAAGACATAGAAATAATTCAGAAAAGGGCGTGATGATAATCTGCCCAGAACTGGAATATGTGACCAAACCGCAAATCGTTAATGGAAGGGAGATGACATGTGTATTCAGCTAATTAAAGATGTGTTGAACCATTGCCAAACAAAATCTCCCAAACAAAGCAAGAGACAAGACTAAATGCCGCAAAGTAACGTATATAACTTTCGATGTAAATTAAACGATTTAATTAAACAATTAAGAAATAGAAAATATTTTCCGTGTTTCTATAGAGTTATAGAAACACGCGTGAAAGTTTGGGAGAAACGAGAAATTGCGTAGGAACACGAGCACGAAGTGCGAGTGTTTCCACGCAATTTCGAGTTTCTCCCAAACTTTCACAAGTGTTTCTATAAACTCTATAGGAACACGGAAAAAATGTTTTCTATTTCCTTTATTAAATAGCCTATTAAAAACAATAGAAAAGATAAATTTATTGATTTTAATTGCTTTCATTCAAATATTAATTCCACCTTAATATACGTTCGTGTAAA